GTTCTGTGAAACGAGGCGTTCTGTGACACGGGGCGTTCTGTGAAACGAGGCGTTCTATGACACGGGGCGTTCTGTGACACGGGGCGTTCTGTGACACGGGGCGTTATATGACATGGGGCGTTCTGTGACACGGGGCGTTCTATGACACGGGGCGTTCTGTGAAACGGGGCTTTCTGTGACACGGGGCGTTCTGTGACACGGGGCGTTCTGTGACACGGGGCGTTCTGTGACACGGGGCGTTTTGTGACACGGGGCGTTCTGTGACACGGGGCGTTCTGTGAAACAGGGCGTTCTATGACACGGGGAGTTCTGTGAAATGGGGAGTTCTGTGACACAGGACGTTCTGTGACACGGGGCGTTCTGTGAAACGGGGCGTTCTGTGGAACGGGGCATTCTGTGGAACGGGGCGTTCTGTGACACGGTGCGTTCTGTGAAACGGGGTGTTCTGTGACACGGGGCGTTCTGTGACACGGCGCTTCCACTGCTGGGTTAAGACGAGTTGGACGGACGTCTCAGCGCTGACACTGTAACTTTCTTCTGCCTGATGACCATTAAACTGGTAAACAGAAATTATATCTCTTGATTTATTTGAGTTAGAGCGAGTTTCCTCTCCATCTGGGAATAAAAGAACCAGACGCCAGAAGTAGAGAGTCTGACCGGTTTCAGGGACGGACCCGGTCCAGATCCTCACACACTGGAAGGATTTCTGTGTTCTGTCTGAAGCAGCTCGGAGGAGTGATCGATTTCTTCCCAGAAGGTTTACTCTAACTACACATGTAAAATACAAAAATCACAACAGTGCCGGGTCATCCTGGGACGCCACGTGGTCCCAGGAAACTGGCGCTGAGCCCCAGTCAACGCCACGTTTCTTCAGAACTGGCCACACCTCCAGGAAGTCGTCACCACAGCTCATGGAAGGTTCCTACACTCAGTCATGTGAGCAGATCTCTGTTCAAAATGCTGGTGTGTGTCTGTTGTGATGTGCAGGTGTGTAACTAAAATTCTTCCTACCAGAAACAGAAACCCTGAAACGAATAGTCCGCCTTGTTTTAACACACAAAATTATATGAAGCCATAATAACTTTAAAAATCACATATTTCAGTAAACTAATATATAATCTGGTAAAAATGTACTACATTTGTCAATTTGTGGACAAAGTGTGGGTGATCATGTGACTCCATTCATCGGTGAGTGTGCATTTGTTAATTGGAGGGCAAAATATCTTCTTGACCACTGGATGTATTCCATGAAGGTAATCATCTTCATCTGATGAGCATTTGGCACCAGCCCAGTTCAAGATGTTGCCACACCTCAAAGAACCCTAAGCCAAAACAGAAAGAGGTGCAACTGGACAATTTGACATTTATCGAGCTGAAACTGGACAAGACACCAAGTCATCCTCTAACACACTCCGTGTTAAACCGTGCAGCTTCAGTGTAAGCTCTGACGTGCATGTGAGAAATTCATTCATTCACTGAATACTACTTTAATCATCTTGTCCATTTGGCTCAAGAGCCAAAGACTAAAGAGACCAAAAATACGTCTTCACAAGATTATAACTCTTCCTTGAATGAAGGAAATGTTTGAACAGAAAACAAAATGTAACCAGAGCATCCTAAAGGTGTTGCAAGAGTTTTCATTTGGCAGCTCCCATCTGCAGAGGTCACCACAGCGAGAGAACGCACAGGTTTTGGCAATTGTTCGCACCAGATGTCCTTCTTGAGGTAACCTGGGCTTGAATCCACAGCCACTGGGTTCAAAGACATGACCGCCAAGCTACCGCAGCCCATCAGAACCAAACAGCGTGCTGTCAAAAGATACGTTTTTCTTATTTAAAGTTATTCTCGTAACGTTACTTTCAGTACTCGAGGGTTACTGCCCTCGCAAGACGCCGACCAGTTGATAATTTCGTTCTCCTCCTCCCATCGCCTGTCAAATAAACGCCCGGCTTCCAGATTTAGAGGGTCGAGGACCGATTAAATGTTCACGCAAGTTAGTGGCTGCCAATCCAACGCCGTTCTGTTCAGATTATTTCCACAGCAGCAGGTGACTCTCCTGTGTCACTGATAAGGCAGCAGGAAGGTAGTGGCACAAAGGTCAACCCACAAGGGGAATAAAAACTCCAGAAATTATTGAAAACATATCTTCCTACCCTGAAAAAAAACACTTTCCCCCCAAACGTCTTCACCACGGCACGAGGCTATTACACTGATAGAAATTCTTCCCCCTCCACACAGACTGGCCCTGAACACACCAGGGACCAGAGGCTGAGCCACATCTCGAGCTAATTTACAAAGATCCTGAATTATTCTCTTATCTCAGGCTTTAAAGGTTGTAAGGTTGATTAACAAGGTCCTGTCCTGTTTATCAGTTTGGGGCTGGCGGTGGAAAATAGCCTCCGATAAGTGCACACACCATTAAACATTCTATTTCCCCTAATATTTGTTGGCAACCATCTGCTTAACTGATCTGCCTTCACTTTAATTAAAAGGGATTCCCATCTTGTTGGGGTCATTATGTGCTGGCGGACGCCAGGAGAGGGCTTTGTGATGAGTTCAGCGTTCCCTGTGTCCCCAGGTTGCCAGAGGGCTTTTTTCATCTTTCCTTCAGAGTTAACCCCTTCCTAACTGCAACTCCTCTTTTTGTTCAGCAACTGAAGCAAAAATAAAGCAACAGTGAGTCCAGCAGTTGTTAACAACATTCAGTTTGGGCAAACTTTTGTCTCCTCTGGCGACGTGATTACATATTCACTCCATCTCTCTCAGCGGAGGAAGAATCTGGCCATAATGGTTTGATTTGCCCAAGTCTAGTTGGATCGATACGGCTGTTTACAGTTTCTCCCTCTTCCATCCCTTTTGTCTTTTTTCTAA